GTATGAAACTTATTTTATCTCACCAATACTCACCTACTTTTACCATTAATTTTTTGAATGTATAATTCTCCTTTAATTGCAGGATAAAAGAATCACGAGAACATGTGGGTACAATCTGAAAGGGCGGCCAGCTAAAATATATCGACGATATTCAAACTGGGGCCCGCGCATTACCGCAATTCCCATTATCTCTATGGAAGGCATTCTTGATGTTGGCTTTTACCGTGGACACGTTAATGGAGAAACATTTCTTACCTTTGTTAACAATGTACTTGTTCCATGCTTACTGCCATTTAATGGTTTTAATTCACGTTCGATTGTCATACTTGGTAAAGTGCTTGTCTCTTATACTTATAGTGTTTTATTATTGTAGAATTTTGCGACAAGGTCGATAATTATTATTTCACGATCGAGTTGGTTTTCTTTGATGTACCGCGGTTTATATACAGTAGCTATGGAATAAAGTAGGCAAATTTTATAAAACTTCGTGAGAAAACCTTCTCGATCGTAAAATAAGTCAGTTATATACCTCGAAAGTCGGGTTTTAGGCCTATGGCATATAATGCCCTCGGGCGCTGCGAGCCCTCGGGTATGTATATGCCATAAAACCCGACGTTCGAGGTACTGTATAACTCTTACTCGAACTGTTTTATCCTTTCTAGACAACGCTGCAATACATCACACTCAAGAAGCAATTAACGCTATTAATGCCACTGGTGCAATGTTAATATTCTTGCCAGCATATTCGCCTGATTTTATGCCTTGCGAAGAACTCTTTGCCCAGGTTAAATACTACATTCGCCAAAACGATATCGCTCGGCAAGATTGCCCCGATCCTGAATTAATGTTGTGGGAATCATTTCTGCAGAGCACAGATGATCAAATTAAAAACTATATATATCACGCTGGCTACATGTAAACAATATATGTAGATAACTTTAATTGTAATACAACTTTAACAGGTTTGTTTATGTATCACTGCCATATTAGAAGCTTGACAACTCTTTGAGTAGCTTAGATTTTTGATTTTTAAATTCCTCTTCGTCCAGAACTCCTGTTTCTTCAAGGCTTTTTAAATCCTTCAGCTGTTGCAAAATCATTGAACGGAGACGAACCTACATAATTATAATGCAATAAAAATTGTTTTGTGTACTAAGTCTGTGTTCAAAAGCTGTTTTCATCTTGAACACTGTGCTTAACGGGACCGCAAACTCGTTATATATAGACATGCTGGACCAATTACTTTTTAAACGAAATGCAATCACTTGCAGTAAGATTTTGTTTTGGCTTTCGAGAAGTTAATTAATATACCCTATATTATTATACCCTATTCCAATTTATATATTATTATACCCTATTCCAATTTATAAAAAAATATTTCTCGACAAAAATGGTATGTTGATATACCTTTTGCTCTGTCATGTCCGTTTCCGATGTTTCAGAACCAGGAAGTGTTGCTCCTGTCGTTACCGTCGCAGGGGTAGTCGACGACGAAGGTATTTTTGGCGGCATATCGTGGCTGTCGTGAGTGCCGTTGGTCTATAATTAAACAATTTCGAGGCGAGTAAATTACTGACAAAACAACTGGCTAAACAGCATAAAGTTTAGAATATAGCATGCAGCATGCAGTAACTTAGAGACATACAAGTAATACATTAGAACTTACCAACATTTTAGCCCAAACCCTAAGTTTAAATTTAGGGTAATCGGAACTATGCTTCGTTTTGAGTCGCTGTAATGTACTTTCATAGCCTGCCGCTTCAGAAGAATTTGATCCTATGGATATGAATTGTATTTTATTACTACTGTAGGCTAATATTATATATTTGAGTATAACTTTACCTAGCTGGAAATTGTAAGACAGACAACATTTTTCAAATGATGTACAAGTTAAGTAAATACCATTACCACTGGGGTTTGTTGCCAGGTCATCAGTTGCATGGGAGAGGCTTCGTTTGGTTCCTCTTGATGCTGCCACTGCAGGGGGTACAATTGCCTCTGCCCACAGTGTTATCCAACCTGCTTTAGCAACAGAATATGCTTCGGCCAGGTTGATGTCGTTTGCTATCACCACCCGCCTATTTGTTCCAGCAACATACCCAAGATTGAATGAGCTTGTCGTCGTAGCAGGTGATAGTTCCACAGAAAAATTGCGCAACAAAAACTCTTTCAATTCATCGACATTGTCAAACATTTCTACATTTTGTCGACTGTATGTATCATATTTTGTTCGATTTGCCTTACGTACAACTTTCAGTACGACATTAATTGTATTTTCGTCTGCCATTTTTGTGCGACTGTGCATGCATGTGAAAGATTTTGCCATAAAATGCAGATCTTAATTGCGTATAATAAACGTTGACTGCTAGTCATTTTCGTCGCGTTGTCGTATTGTTCTCCGATCTCAAAGGAAATATTAGGATCTTCAGACGGGGCATTTCAAACTAACAAAACCGATAATTATCCCCGAGCCGACGGCGCGAAGCGCCGTGCGAGGGTACTAATTCCCCCCGGCTATTTACACGCGGGGAAACGAAAGCATTAGCGGAGTCTAAAGTTCATCAAGTATCGCGGGCGTGGGTGACCAACGGTGTTGAGTGGGTGGTCATCCTCACTGATCTCAAAAATATGGCGGACTGTCATGAATAGCGGACACTGATTGGTCCAATTTAAAGTTTGCATCATAACGACTGTATGACGACAGCGAAATAGCAAACATTTCTTGATTTGATCACAGATTTGATGATTGATAAATTTCTTGCAAATATACTTCAATTTTACTCGCATTTTTGCAAGATTTTGTAAATTTCAAGATAGAAACGGCGAAAGAATCGGCTAAAAGAAGGGAGCCGACGTTAATGAAGGTAAGTTTGTGTTAAATATTGATTTTATAATTGCTTTAAAACCCGACGGCCTTTGGCCCTTTGCGTATATGAAATAACTAAACAAGACAGCATATAATTTCAGTCAATTCAGTGTATTATTAATATTGATTCCTTTTTTATTATATTGAATTTTTTTACTAAAAAGAAAGCAAAGTTATTTGCATGCGAGAATTTGAAATCATTTTGTTGCAAACTCAAAGTTTATCGATAAAGCCATTTAATTAAAGCCAGGCAATTTAGTTTTATAAAGAACGTTTTAAAACGTTTTGCGAAACTTTTGTGGTTGAATTTTACCTTAAATTGAAGCTTATATTACGTATAATAACATACCTTTGAATTGATTTAATGACTACTGACTTTGTAACCCAAAAAGGTTAAATTACACCAGTATTACATAAATTAAGAGGATAAGGTAAAATTACATAATAATTACATATTTAAGATTATTTACATTTCTAAAAACTTATTTACTGTTAATCTTTAATATACTTTGAGGTAAAAACGAATTCTTAAAACGTTCGGTTCTGCAAACATAATTATGATATTTACATATCGGTCTTAGATCATATCCAGATAAAACTGTTTGTGGTAAAAGATCTTTGAGATTTTCATTGTCAATATTCTTCTCAAAGAAATGTTCGCATAACTTTTCTCGGCGATCTCTCAGTGACGTGATGTTAGTCGTGATCAGCGCTTCGTCGTACTTTTGCGATGGGAGGATGATTCTCAACGCGCGTTTTTGTATTTTTTCAATATCGTCACATAAATATTGTTGGATATTGTAATGCCAGACCTGGCATGCGTACTCTAAAACAGGCCTAATAATGGTAGTATATACAGTAATTAACGTGTCAATACACGCGTTGGACCTTTTTAGCAGTCTTAGCATATAGAGCCTCTTGCTAGCTTTTTTAACTATGTTGTTTATATGTTCATTCCACTTCATGTTATCTTGAACTGTGAGGCCAAGGATACGGGCGGATTTCTCTCGTTCAATATTAACTTTATCGACTGTTAAAGGGGGAAAGCAATGCTTCTTTTTTGCAAAATCAATAACCAGTTCTTTGCATTTTCCAATGTTTAATTTCATATTATTACTCGTAGTCCAATTATTGATGTAATTAACCAGTTCTTGAAGGTTGCTGTTACAATCTGGGCCAATGGTTTCGGTAGTGGTGGTGTCGTCAACGTATTTCCATCGGTCTTTCCAATCGGCGAGGAGATCATTTATCATGATTAGGAAGAGGATTGGGCCTAAAACAGTTCCCTGGGGTACTCCACCGTTGAGGATTTGCCATTCTGACACACAATGGGGCATTCTGACCCGTTGGCTTCGTTGAGTAAGAAAACTTCTTATCCAGTTTGTTATTAATGATGGAACGTCCATATCAGATAATTTACTGAGGAGGATGTTATGATCAATATGATCAAAAGCTTTGAAGAAGTCTAATAAAAAAATTCTAACAGCGTTTTTCGGCACATCAGTTTCGTTTAATAAGTGATGGAGAAGGCTCAATAATGCATGTGTTGTTGAAGAGTTTTTTAGAGATCCAAATTGGCGTTTATCGATCTTCTCACCAATCAACTCCATCAGCCAGTCTGCGACAAAACGTTCACACGTTTTGACAAAGTGGCAGTAAGCGAGATGGGACGCAAGTCTTTAGTAATGTCCTTCAGCACCTTATTTTTAGGTACAGGGATGACGTCGGCTTTTTTCCATACCGCGGGAACAGACGCCAGTTGAAGGGAGGCGTTGAAGATTGAAGTAACAGGGGAAGACAGCAGGGGCGCATAATCTTTTAGGACCCAATTCGGTATTTCATCTGGGCCAGCCGCTTTCGAGGATGATATTGAAGATAATTTATAATAAATGTCTTCTTCCCTAATAATATACTCGGTTGGAATTGTAGTACAATCGCTTTGTAATTGGCTATCGGGGAAAGGGATAGGCCTAAGGGGAAGAATATCTCGAGTAACGGATACGAAAGCCTCGTTAATTTTTTCAGCAAGTTGCTTTCCAGAGACGACTTGCTCTCCTAGGACAATACTTGAAAAAGATTTCTTCTTAGGGTAGCCAGCTATTTGTTTTACGGTGTCCCACCATTTCTTAGGATCAGGGTTACGTTTCAATTGTTTCAACTTATGTTCTAAGAATGCAGATTTAAGGTACTTACTTTCTCGATTGGCACGATTACGTAGTCGCCGGTACAATTTGTCATTTTTCTGAAAAAATGCTTTCTGTCTGCTTTTAATAAGTTCCTTGTATGAAGGTGTTATCCAAGGCTTATCTCGGTCGTGCATTTTAACTACTTTACATGGAAGGAAGTGGTCTAAGCCGGTATGAATAACATCCTGAAAAATTTCCAGTTTTTGTTCGCACGGTGCAGTATGATACAGGTTAGTCCAATTATAGTTCGTTAGCCATCTTCCAAATGCAACTTTGGCACCTCTGTTACCGGGTCTAATTTTTATTTTCTTGCATTCGTTCAATGATTTACATTTTTTTTTAAATGCATAAAACGGAATTATGGTCGCTGAGTCCGATGGGTGCGATCACCTTAGGAGGGTCCCATGTGTCTGACATATTAGTAAGAATAAGATCAAGGACAGCATCTTTCCTGGTTGGTTGTTTTACGATTTGTTTCAAAGTAAAATGTTTTAATAAAGATGAGACAGGACATCTGTTAAAATCTCCGTGTAAAAATATACCTGCATTTGGGTACTTATTGAGAGCGAGGTCAAGTGTTGAGCTGAGGTGATCTATAAACGCGGTGTTGTCGCTGGATGGAGGTTTATAGGCCACACAGACGATCAAACACGAGAAGCCTCGATTAAGTTTATAAGGTCGTACATAGATCCATAAGGTTTCAAAATTGATATCATTAAATTCTGTTAGAATTTTGAACGGAATGTCTGATTTAATAAAAGCACAAACTCCACCGCCAAGTTTATCAATACCTAACAAATATATGTTGGGAAATTGATAATTTTTTAATTAAAATTGATATTTTTAGGCAATTTTTCATTTGTAAGAATATTCTTAAAAAATTATCGTGTTATTACCATGACAACAACTTTGGATACTTCATGTTTGGAAAATACAATGGTTTTGTCAGCAAGGCGAGGGTTTCTGCATGCATGTATTTTCTAGTATATTATGTTTAATGAATACAGTATAGTCTCAAGTGAGAACTGTCGATGTTGTTTTCGTCCTGTTTACAATGTCACTTAATTACTTTTTACATTTTCCGGAGAATTAACGACCAGTCAGAATACGAGAGCTGGACAGAACATACAATATATCTTACATACTGTTAAAATACAAATGAAACCGATGCAACGACACATTATTGCTATTCTAACTGTTTAGCTCTGCGCAAGAATGAGAGTGAATAGCTGTGATAGAATTGTGGCTGGCTAATGATAGGTGTGCAATATTTCCCGGCAAACTCCCCGAAGTTATGTCTATCACGCGTTGGGACGGCATAATTAATTCAACGAACATTCCCAAAGTTCTTCGCGCGCTCAATCTTTAATATATATATCTTTCCAGATCACAACCTTTTTTGAAAAGACTGTATATATAGATATATATAGATATATATATATATATATATATATATATATATATATATATATATATATATATATATATATATATATATATATAAAGGGTGTATAAAAAAAAACTGAATAGATTTGAAATTGCTCTCAATTTCGCAAAACATCTATTTGTATCTGTTTTTTATATAAATAGCTTCTTTGGGTACTTATAATGTAGAATAATGAAAAAAAATTCTCGAACTCAAATTTTGTGAACCAGGGGGGTGTATCCTTTCCAACAAACTAAAAATGGCTCGCGCACAAAATCTGTATTCATATTTTGAGTTACTAGATGGAAAATTTGTCGGGTTTGAAATTACTGTACAAAATTTCAGACAATTTGGTTTAGTTTAAGCCCTTTAACTATTCATTTTGTTCTAAAAAGTCAGCCTTTCGCATGCTTAATTAATGCCTTTACCTAATTTGCATATTGCTGACATATGCAAATTAAGCAAATGCATTAATTAAGCATGCAAATATCCCATTAAGCTCCCCGCTCCCATTGTTCTTTCATTGATCACTATTCGAAACTGAAGCGACGAGGGACGAGGCAGGGAATATTTTAGTATAAGGGGGAATTATGTCCTATTTAATCCATATACTTTAAAACGTTTTTTATTTTTTGAACCAATGTCTGTAAATATATTGATTAATTATCATAATATGCACAAAACTAGGGGCCTGAATTAAAAAACCTGTAAAGGTTTCTGGTAAGTTCCTTGCCCAACATTACAGTAATAGAAATCTACTATCTTTATATAAAAATTGTGCATGGGGGAAACTTCATTAAATAGATAAATGTATGAACTACCGTTCAGCCTGTTGACAATCAAAAGTTAGGCCATGGTCAAACGTCGAACTTTTTATGCGCCGAACCTAATGTTGATGAGCTTTGTTCTTTGTTCTTTGTTTCACTTCATTTATGAAAGGTTCGACGTTTGACTGTGGCCTTATTTGTGTTTGATCTCGGCGCAAACTGCATGAAAGCCTGAACTTCATTGAAATTTCACATGTTTATAACACGCTGTTTTCTTTTAAATCTCAGTTTCATATTGAACGTGGTATGAACAAAATGGAATCATCTAAAAACTTGGCGAATCTATGCTTCGACGTACTTTATGATTGTGGCAAAATGATTACCAATCATAATTCAAAAAGTGGTGAAGAACCAAGAATACAGACCACACTTCACCGTCTTATCAAAGTGTTTAACTGGTGGAATCAACCCAATTTTATTCAGCGATATGAAGATGATGATATCAACTGGAATATCCTTATACAAGATGTAAACAACCCAGACTCTGTCACGTTGACACTTTGTCTTGAGTTATCTGAAGAATTTGAAAGATTTAAAGCATTTCTTCGACACGTTAACTTCAACTGGTTTCATGATATTAAAGTACAAAAACTAGACAATGGTTTCCTAAGTTTTCTGGTCACCAATCCAGCACCAGTACTATTACATATCTTCCCTCAAGACCCCGCAAATTTGGATGAACATTCCAGATTTTCAACTTCCAAGTCATCTAATGTCGAAACAATATCGAATATCATCAGTCTTCTGGTCAAAGACTTTTGTTTGTGTGTACTGAATGAACCTGAAAAGCTCTCGAGAGATGCAGAAGAAAAACGTCAAACTAAAGAAACGACAAGAAGTCAAAGTCCTGATGAGTATCCTGTACTCCAAAAGAGTGGAAGTGACATACTGGCCACTAATTTTTACTATCATAAAACACCTTCTGACGTATTACTAGAGCAATTTAAACAAGCGTATATCTCAGCATCAAATGGTAGTCAGAACTCACAGTCTCAATTTGAAGAAAATTGTATTGCCTCTGATTCA